TAACCATTTCTTTTAATCTAGTAACCAGGAGATCCTTTCCTTTACCCTCAATGACTTTTCCTATACGAGGGAGTTTTTTCCTCCTCTAACTTTTAAAATTAGCTAATGAAATGTGTCTAGTATCCTATTAGTAAAACTAATTAAAAGGCTACAGCCTCCTTCTCCACTTGCTAATCCTCAGTGCCGAGCTTACATCTTTGATTTGAACCGTGAACTCCTTTTCATCCATGCCTCGGTGAAGTTTGGTGAACTGGGCTGCTGCTGTGCTCACAGCGGATGCTTCTTCCTCTGCCAGGGAAGCTGCACTGCTGCTCCGTGGTGTAGGGACTGGAGAGTCACCGTACTCTCCTGGAGTTAATGAAGGACTGTCTAGTAAGTGGTTGCCTGGCCCCAAAATTCCTCCTGTTACCATTTCCTGGGTCCTGCGGCTAGAAGGCCATTTCCCTGAGAGTATAGCCTGGCAGACGAGGTCAATACGGCTTATCAGGACACGATCCTGGGTGGGGGAAAAAGATAGGATTTAAGAGTCTGAATACTATGTAACAATAGTACTGTCATTACCATGATAGTAAAAATCATAAGGCAGAAAGGAGAGCAGGAAGCCTATGAGTCCCCGTAGCAACTTGAAAGAGATTCATGCAAAAAAAATGTAGCACTCATTGGGCATGGTGGCAAATACCTGTAATCTCAGCACTTGGGAGACTGAGGCAGGAGGATTGCTAAGAGTTTAATGATAGCTTGGGCTACATAGTGAGTTCAAGACTAGCCTGAACTACACAGCAAGACCCTGTTACCAAACAAACAAAAATAGCACTAAACATAGCAAAAATTTAAAACTCCTAACCATTGTTCTTTCTTCCCCTCATACAATGTTACATTCTATTTCTGAACTCCATATATTGAGGAATGATGCTGTTACCTTGGGCCATTCAGAGGCTCTTTGTCTTTCCTGCAGCATCAGAAGCTCAGGGGTCATTTGTTCTCCATCTTCATTTGGGAATCCGTCTTGGGACACAGAGAGGGATAGGAGACTCTCTTCATCATAGAGCTTTGGGCGGGATCGGTCAGCAGCTAGAGATCACATAGAATATGTGAGCAAAGATGGTAAAATAATGTTAAGTGGAAAGTGTTATGAGGACTATGAATAAAGGCCCACAGAATAACATACCTCGACATTTTATCAAACCAAAATTAGGATTTCTTAAGAGGATGCATTTAGAAAGAAAGGAACGAGCAGAAAGGGTAATAGGGGAGAGGTCCAACAGCCTGTTGCATGCACTCACTTAGCTTCTCTTCCTTCTCGTCCTCACTCTCATCAGTGCTGGAGCTGGAGCTGGATGAGGATGAGGAAGAAGAGGATGATGGCGACAGTTTGCTCAAGTCCAGCTCAGAGTCTGAATCATCCTCGTCCTCCAGTTTGACTGGCGGAACACTTCGGGACACCAGAGGGGCAGTATCACAGGGGGCTATTCGCATCTCATAGTCTTGTGGGGTTGGTCGGCTCCTGGCTACCATCTCATGCTCTAGCTTTAAAGTCAGACTCTCCAGACTGGGGACCTGGGCAGCTGTCTCCTCAGGTGACTTTTCAACAGGAGCATCTGGGCGCAGGGGCAGTGGTGAGGCAGTGCGTGAGGTGAACTGCTGGTGTAGCAGTGGAGTGGAGCAGCGTGACAAAGATGTAGCTGGTGCTCCTGCCTGATGGTTCTGCATATAATTCATACGGGCAGCCAGAAAAGAGAAGTCTGGGTCCTGCATGATGTTGCAGTCTGTTTGGCTCACCCCATGGCGGGCTGCCCCTCGAAGAAGCTCCCCATCATGACGAACAGGCTCCCACCATTTGGGCAATTCTGGACCGGGAGGCTGACACAATGCCAGCCGGTCTTCCAAAAGGGGGTGGCATAAAACTTGTTCCCGTAAGCGCCGAAGCAATTCGATACGGTAGAGAGTCCATGAGGCCCTTTCCTCAGTGATGGGCTCAATGAATAGATTAGGGTCTGGCGGTTCTACAAGAGACAGTGGTGCAAAGAGAAATGAACCAAGAGTCGGTGTGCTGCCACTCACCTCCACTCACCCTGGACTCTCCCATCTCACCATCTCCAGCAGCTGGGGGGAGGCGGCACACTTGACGACACATGGCCACAAAGCCATGGAAGTACTTGGTAAGGCTTTCATCAGTTTTTTTGTCTAGTCGAGCAAAAGAGCGGAAGCGATCCCAATGGAACTGCATACTGTCGGGATCATATTCCACACCAAAGGTGGACACTATTCTATAGAAATCAGTCTGCTCACGCCTTGTCCATCTACAGTGGGAAGAGGAGTAACAATAGCAATCAGAAAATCGCAGGAAATTTGGTTTCTTATGATGGTTTAGAATACCTGAAAAAAAACCCTAACTGAATCTAGGAAAAAAAATCAAAACATGACAAAGCCCAGAAAAGGCTGTGAGAAAATTCATATAAGAATTACCAAGCAAAGAAGGGAAAAAGAGGCAGACAAATAACTCGATCATGATTACTGCATACTTTTTAAGCCCTCTCAGAGGTCTTATAAGTCAAGGACAAACATGATCTCTATTAGGAATTCCAAATAAATTTTTCCTAAAATGCTTTTTAGTAAAAAAAAATCTCTTAGTCACAGACAAACTTACAGTATATCCCAAATCCCCTGCTATATTTTACCGTTGTTGTTTCTCCCGCCGTGCAATTTCTTTTAGTTTGAAAGCTGCCTCACATCGCCGCCGCCGCCGGTCCCCACGCTCCGCAGCCTCCATCTTCATTTGTTCTCTCTTGTAGCTGCGCTGATAGGCTGTTACCAGGCGCCGAAGCCTAGCAGTGAGGGCAGAGCCTGGAGGCCAGAATAGATGCCCTGGCTGTTGAGTTACCTGGGCTGTGGGAAACAAAGTAGAATGAATAGGAAGATACACAAAGGACAGTAGAGGTAATACTTGTATATCAACCTACTCACAGGCAAAGCTCTTAGAAATCCCAGAACAAAATTTAGTAATTCCCTCCTCCACCCCACACAAAGTGTACTAGTTGGCCTGAACTTTACCTTCATCTCCATCAATCACTGAGATCTCCTCATCCATCATCATCAAGGGATCGCCCTAGAGAAGGAGATCCACCCCACCGGATGGAGGGGAGGGAAAGGGGGAAGTTTGCACTCTGATAAGAACCCTCACAACAATTTGGAAGCAACCAACTAAAAGAAGAGTAAGAAAGAATCCAAAAGACCAGTTCTTACTAGTGGCCCAAAGACAATGGGAGTTAGTCATTTACTTTATTTATATATTTTTTGATACAGGTTTTTTCCTATATAGTCCAGGGTAACCCTGAACTCAAGGTGATCCTCCTGCCTCAGCTTCCCAAGTGCTGGGATTATAGGCATGCGCCACCATGCCTTGCTGGGACATAGGAATTTATTAGTCAGATAATATCCTTTAATAGCCAGTGTGGGTCCCACTTCCTCTACAAAGCCACCCTGATCTCCCCTAGCTAACATTAAAACCCTTTCCATTAATACTTTATAGACTATAATGACATTTTATTATTATAAATTAATCAATATGCTTCACAATTCAGAAAATGGAAGAAAACAAACTTACTAATAGAGACAAGCTAGACTCAAGGGAGACTCCTTTACCTCATCATCTTGGTCCTTTGGGGGACCCTGGAGTGGTTTATATTCAGGATCTTCACAATCCTTATCAAAATCAACCCTAAAATAATCCAAGGCAAAAGAATGTTAATAATAATAACCAAGCTGTGGATCAATTAATACAGCATTCAACAGAGTAAATAAACCAGGAGCGACTAACAAAGTGCCATTTGTAATTGCTTCAGTTTGAAATAAATCACTACTTTTTTTTTTTTTTTTTTTA